TGGAGGGGCGGTGCGCGGCCCGCGCTTCTGGTGTATCTGCATCTGGCACTTTCACTCCTTCCAGCAGCTCTCTCAGAGGACCACTGTTTCTGTCCCCATTCTACAGATGGGTATCTAGGCTCAGAGAGGCATGGTCACCTGCCTAAGATCACACAGCTAGTGTGAGAGCCAGGAGTCTCTGAGAAGCTTCAGTTTTTCTTTCTGCTTTCGTTCTCAAAACGCTGAGGTCGACTCTTACGGCAGCCCTTAAGAGGCAGGCAGCTCAGAGAGACCTGTTCTCATTATGGAAATAGGAAAATGAAGCCTTCCAGAGAAAGGACTTGACTTGCTGAAGGTCACATATTGAGTCAGCTGAGGCCTGTCCTGGAACTCGGGTTCCCAGACTCCTAGGAAAGGAGATTGGGGTGGGAGCAGGGCATCAAAGGTTAATAGTGTCACGGTTGGCTCTCAATTGAACCCTGTTATTAAGATGAGGAAACTGAGGATCAGAGAGCATAAGAGACCTGCCAAAGATCACATAGCTGGTTGGGATTTGTCTGACTTGGAATCCAGGATTCCTGATACTACCCTTCACCTTCCAGAGGGAAGGACTTGGAGATTAGAGGGGGTTGAGGTGGGTATTGGGGGCCTTATTTGATCTGAAGAGTTTAAGTGGGAAGAGCTGAAGGAGTTAAAAAGGGAAAATTAAAGGGAGAGAATCAGGCAGGGTGGGCAGGCAGTTGTCTTATGAAAGGAAACCTAAGACTGAGGGCTGTAACTTCTTGGGGTTCTATCCCATCTCTACTGCCACAGCCTTAATTTACTGCATCATCTTCACCTAGACTATTGCAATCATTCTCTAACTAGTCTTCCTCACTTCCAGTCTTGGACCTCTCCATCCCCAATCCATCTCACTACTAGTATAGTGATCTTTCTTTGAAAGAATGATAAACTAAATGAATATTTTTGCTCTCCTTATGACAGCATTCAGTTATACTCAAGTATTTGTCATCTTAAAAACCTTTTCTTGACCTACCTTCTCCTCCAGCCTTTTCTCATTGTCCCCTTTCACAGACAAGCATCTCAGAAGAGTGGTCCACTCATACTCTGAATACTTCCCAGCTCCTGTTCATTCTTATTCACAAGCAAATGAAAGACTGGTTTCATTTTCCTCCCCAACTAGATCATTTCTGTCAACATTTACACATACTCCTGTCTCCTGAAAAGTGGCTTTCCAAGGCACCCCAGACCCCTGGGTGATGTCCACATCTTTAGTACTCCATACAAGGCCCTCATGCTCTAGTCCCTGCCAGTCTCCCTTGCTTTATCTAATATCAAAACTTTTTGAGTTCTGTGGTCTAGCATGAAGGAATAAAGGACTGATATTGGAGGATGATGTTCCAGGTAAGAGGAGCAACAGCATAAACAGAGGTACAGAGGCATGAAATCATCTCAGCCATTTGGGAATATTTGATCAGATTTTCATCATAATACCTGTAGCACTCTAATGTACTTGTTTGCATGTCTTTCTGTCCCACCAGATGATAAGCTCCTTGAATTAGGGACATTTTTCTGATTTATTTCTGTATCCCCTAAGCCCAGCAAGTTAACCAACAGCTAAGAGATAACAAGTAAATTTTGTTGAATGAGTGAAAAGGAGAGAGGAAGGGATAAGTCCTAGAGGAAACTGAATGAGATGGGAGGGAAACCTGTGTGGCTACAAAAAAGAAAACAGGAGGCAGAAGAAAAAGGAGAGATGAAATGAAAGCAGGACCAAAAAAAGGGTCAGTAGAACCTAGGCCAAGTTAAGGGAAGAGGCAAGACAGAGCCTGGCCATGGGGCCCAGGATCAAACAGGACAGGATATCATGAGATGTTTTAAAAGGAATTACAGTCCTGTCTGGTGAGTGATGGGGCACACTCACTGAAACCTGGGCTCTTGGAGCACTAGCCACAAGCTCAGTGTGAGCCAACAGCAGGACAAGGCTGTGTGCCCTGCTGCCCCATTCCAGTCCAGTATCTGAGTTTTTGCCTCACACACTGCACTGGTGAGTTGGGAGGATTTGATCTAGCTTTAGGCCCACTGTATCCAGACTGTGCACAAACAAGGTAGTCCACAGTAAGGAAAGATTTACAAATCACATATGTGAAGAAGGACCAAAAAAACTGAGGAAATTTAACCTAGAGAAGAGAAACTCAGGAGATGATGTAAGTGCAGTTTTCAGATACTCTAATAAAAAGAATTAGACATTTTCTCTTGTTCCTTGAGGGGTGAAAGATACAGTTAGACTTAGACTTGAAACATCTTAATAATAAAAGATGTCCAAGTTGGGAGTTCACGGGACTCTGCTGCCTAGGCCACCCTTGCCGTCTCCATCCGCTCACGTGGCAGGTCCAGGAGCCGCCGTTGCTGCTGGCAGCACTGACCTTGGTCCTGGACTTGGTCCTGGTACTTAGAGCCCTGGCCAAGGAGGCGCCACACCCTGCCAAGTGGGATGCAATTCTTCATCAAGGAGCTGGCCCACAATGGAGGGGAGGAAGATCTGCCCAAGTACGTGGCAGTGAAGTAAGTAGTGTTTGATGTCACCTCTAGAAAGGAGTTGTATGGCAAAGGAGTGCCCTACCCTGCCTTGATCAAGAAGGACTCTATGAGAGGGTTGACCAAGATGGCCTTGGATCCTGCAGAGCTCACCCATGACACTATAGGTTTCATGGCCCAGGAGCTGGAGTCCCTGGATGATGTCTTCACCAAAGTGTAGCAGCCAAATACTGTCAGCTACACAGCCTGGAGCAGTCTTAACAGGTGGCAGCCCCAACCTGGACTTCAGGCCTGAAGACCCACCCCCATTTTGACATAAAGGATAAATTCTGGTGTTGCATCTGCAGGAGCAAGTTCTTCGGAAAGAGGGCCAGGAAGAACTCAGGTGCTAAATCTTCTGCAAAATAGGCTACCTGAAGCCTCTGAATCGCCCCGATCTGAATAAACAGATTTACCCTGGTCAGGAAGGGAGGGGAGATGTCTTCGAACTAGATGTGTTCCAGTACAAGCTTGTCACCCAGGATTCCTGCCTAAGGAGGTGACCCAGCAAGATGTCCAGAGTACCCTTCCCATTTTAAGGATTCAATTTCCAAGTTCCCAGAATCAAAGTACCTGAGGGACCAAGCCCTGTGTCATCCTAGGGAGTATCCTGCAGGAGAAGAATGTTACACAGGCCCCTTGAAGATTAACACTATTTGAATAAGTGGATTTCTTTTTCTGCTTTCTTGGTTTGTATGCCTGTCCTCAGGCCTAAGTGAAGACAAATCCTTCAGCCTCTGAATGCCTGTGTCCTCTCTCTGTGGAAGTAAAACATGTTACTTTGTTATTTTAACATCCAAAATGGCCCTGGTGGCTTAACCTTTGGTTTACGTTTGCTCAGGTCTGATCCAGCTGCGTTTGAGTCCCGACTAGAAAAGCGCAGTGAGTTTCGGAAGCAGCCTGTGGGGCACTCCAAGCAAGGTGATTTTATCAAATGTGTGGAACAGAAGGTAAGACCCCCTTTTTGTGCTGTTGGCTCACCAGTGATCTGCATCTCCACCCCTGACCCTTATCCAGGGAGTAGGCTCATTGAGGGGTCAGCTGGATAAACTGAACATGGACCCTCTCTACTCAGCTCAGTCTCCACCCATAAATGGTATTCTGCTCTTCCTGGCAAGGTACTGTGGTCATGGTGGGGATATAAGGGGATGAAGAGGGTAGTCTCTGCTCCCAGGGGTACAGTCGAGTGGTCAAGGCAAGGCACACATGACAGTGGGTGGTAGGAGTCAGGGAGCAAAAAGTGCTTAATACATATTAGCGCTTATTCTCCTTAAGCAAGAATCAGCTGGGGAAAGGCACATTGAAAACTGTACAGTCAGCCCTCCCTATCTGCAGAATCCGCATCCACAGATTCTGCATCTGGATTCAGCCAACCTCGGGTAGAAAATTTTCAGGGAATAAAAACTCTAGAAAGTTCCAAAAAGCAAAACTTGAGTTTGCCACTGGCAGGCACCTATTTACATAGTATTTATTGTACTTACAACTATTTACATAGCATTTACATCGTATTAGGTATCATAAATAATCTAGAAATGATTTAAAGCGTCTGGAAAGATGTACATAGGTTATATGCAAACACCACACCATTTTATATAAGGAACTTCAGCATCCAGATTCTGGTATAGTCAGGGGTCCTAGAACCAATCACTCACTGATACCAAGGGACAACTGTATAGGAAAATTAATCTAATACAGTGCTTCTCAAACTGTTTGACCATGACCCACATTAAGAAATATCTTTTATATTATAATTCATTACACACATCCGTATATGATTATAACTGAAACAAAATTCTTACAGAACAATGCTTACTTTTACTACATGCAGTGCAGTCTTTTTATTTTCATTTTTTAAAAGACTTTGGTCACAATCCACTAAATTGATTTCACAACTTGTGAGTTCACCTATATGTGAAATCACGATGATTACATAAGCAGCAAATGCTAACTGGTACAGGGATGTTGTGTTGGTAATTATAAAAACTCCCAAACTGTAAGCAGTGTTGTTGTCCTGGACCCTCATGAGATTACACAATGTACAGTCTCCTCTCAAGTTATATAGTAGTTGTATTTCTGAAAAATTTAGTATTTATTAAAACTGTTTTTAAAAGAAGGAAGAAAGAAAGCAAGGCAAAACAGAGTTGGATTCTAGGCCCAATTATAATGAGCTTTTTCCCCTACAAGGATGTCTGGCTAGACATTAAAAAGTTGTACAGGATGAGGGAAAATTCTTCACTGTGTAGAATTCATCTACAAAATTGCAGCTCATTTGGTACCACTGGCCCTCCCATAACTTCTAGTGTAACCATCCAATTGTTGTGATAACAAAAAACAAACAAGTACCCACAGATTTCCACAGCATCTGTACTAGAGCAGTAAAGTATCCATTTAAATATTTTATTAATTATTCTTGAGACTTTTGGCACATAGTTTCAACTATAATTTTAAATATTTTTCAGTTGTTCTAAAAGCCCACTTTTTTTTTTACATTTCAACATCTCTGAAGTTGTTTTCAAATTGATGTGATATCAAAGTATTGTGTTACCATTTAATTGGCATCACCTTCCAATACATAAAATAATGATGCTTCTTAAGATCCATGATATCTTAGGTAAAATGCAATAAAGCTTATACTTGAAGCTTTATTTTTTTATTTCTGTAAGTAAAAATGGAAATGAAGAATGGATAGGAGAGACATTGTGGAAAAAGAATACACTGGGCTTAGTGACTGACATGTTGAAGGCAGTGCACATGGAGGGCTTTGCTTGTTTTGTTCTTTTTTCACATAGCACCTGAAGGTGAATGTATAAAAATGAAGTCAGTTCTTTTGAGGGGCCGTTTTCATATGAAACGAAGACTGCATTAGGATTTTGCCAATGTATAAGGATGTAAGCAAAAAGACCAGGGTATATCCAGTAGGTTTTTCTGTACTAGGCTTTTGTCTAATTTGTGGACACTGGTTCTATGGACATCATTTATGAAAGGTTTGGATTCATTAAAGCATAGAGTAATGAAAAACAGAGCTTTATGCAGAAAGTGTTTTTCAGCTTCAGAATCCCAGCTATAGATTGTTCTCTCTGCAAGGCATAGTTGTGAGCTGAGAAACTGAAAATGGAAGACTCAGAACAGCCCATCCCTACTGTCAGAAATAACTTAAAATAAGACTTCCTGGCCATGGCCTTTATCTGAGAGTGGGCTAGGAGAGAAAATATTCACTTTTAGTTGTTCTTGGCCTGTTCTGAGAGGGAGTCTAATTTGAGGGAGGGAATATCAAGACTGAGTACTAGAAAAGACCCAACAGTCTGTTGAGGATGCCTGCCTTCAGAAGTGCTGCCACGGATAAGAAGCAGCTTGGGAAATACATCCTTCCATTTCTTACCTCCTCTGTGGCTCACTGGGGAGCAGAGCACAGAAACCTAAGCAGGCTCATTCTGGGAAGGAACCCATCCACAGTGACAGGGATGGAAAGGACTCTCGGTACTAGTAGATGGTGGTTACTCATAAGGAACTCCTTTCTCATCTCTGTATCTCAGAACCAGTCAAAGAAAAGTTGTCTCACAAACAATAACTTGTAAAACAATGTGTACATTTGCTGTATTGAGTGGAGAGAATTGAGTTTTTAGGTGCAGCATCACTAAATGAGATATTGAGCACTTCACCTAGCTGGGTGGTCTTTTGCTTAAGAATTCAAGTAGAGGTTAATATCCTGTGCCATCATGTATTTCAGACAGACACATTGGGGAAACAGCCTATGAGCAGAGGATTCACTAAGGATAAGGTAGGTTTCTAATTAAATATCCAAGTCTGAAGTCATATGGAACAAGAGGCTGCAAATTTGAACATATTTACTGTGACTCAGTGATTTTGTGACTGTGGAAATGGGAAGTAGTTCTATGAATTTTTGTTATGACTTTGTTTTGTTTTTGTTATGACTTTGATATGACTCCTAGCATGTGTGAGTCCTGGGGGTGCTAGAGAAGATGTGCAGGAAAGGTAGTGACACCCTTCCTTTCTGTAGGACATAATTTTAAAAAATCAAATAAAAACATGTTCACTCTGTCATTTAATTTGCAAATGAGCCACTCACTCCTGGTAGAATAGCAGTTAAAGGTAACAACCAGACTGTCTCCTCTTACCAGCTACAAAGTGTTGCAGTGCTGATTTCTGAGCGTGAAGCATTTGGAAAGTACCTGTAGGTACTCCCTGGAAAAAGAACTGTGAAAACCTGCCTGGGCTTGAGGGCTGCCTTCTCTGCGCATGCGGGTTTTCTTGTACTCATTCTCCATTTATTGAAGATCTGCTTTACTGTCCTGCAGGTTGCCTCCAGCAACACTTACAGATAGAGTTAAGCTGTTTTATTTTTTTTAATTATGGTTGTTAATTGCCTTTTATTTTCTCTTTCAGACTCTCAGTTCAATCTTTAACATTGAGATGGTAAAAGACAAAACTGCAGAAGAAATAAAACAGGTAGTGAATGAAAATGAGTTGGTATACTTTATGAAAATGTATGCTCCGTGAACCAAATCTGAGAGTAGAAAGAAGCATACATTTCCTGACATCTCTTTCTAGCCAAAATGAAAGGCAGTCATTGAAAGCAAAAGTGATGTATTACATGAAAGATAGTGCATAAGAAAACTTGTTCTTTGGGGACTCACTCCTGTATATCTAATCAACTTAATTTCCCCTTTCTTTGTCATTCCTCTTGTCCACATCTTTATTTAAAATTATCACTACTCTATACCTGGATGTCTGTACTACCTTTCTAAATAGGTTTCCTTGCTCTCATTTCCCCCCTCCCAATCTCCCTATCATATTCTACCCAGTTGAATCTTCCTAAAGTTCTGCTTCGCATAGTATGTTTGTTAGGAACACACAGTCTAGTACCAAACTGCCAGTTTTAAGTCCTAGCTCTGTCTCCTTAGCTGAATGACTTTGATAAGTTAGTTGACCTCTCTGGGCCTCAGTTTCCCTATCTGTAAAGTGGATATAACAATAGTACTTACCTCATGGAGTTATTTGGGGAATTGAACAAGTTCATATTTGTTAAGTACTTATAACAGTGCCTGGCACAGAGTAAGTGCTATATTTATGTTTTTAAATAAATGAATAAAAATAAATACTTCGTTAGTAGCATGCTGTTAAATGTTTTGTGACTTCCATATTCCTTTGTCTGACATTCAGAGTCTTCCATTACTATAGGACATTCTGTAGGAAGCTTCCTGGACACCTTCCTTCCAAGCACTTAGGATCTTGTTTAGTTATTCTGTATATCTTGATTTGCATTGCTATTTACATTTTCACATCTGATTCTTTTCTCTCTAATTAGACTATAATAAGCTATTTATTGATATTCCTTATAGTTCCATGAATTGTATTTTTGTTATATTGAGAGAATCAAAATAACAATAAAGATAGTGTACTGTGTGTCAGATACTGTGCTTAATGCTTTATGTGCATTATTTCATTATATTCTCATAACCCCCTTGTAAAGTTGGTGCTATTATTCCCAATTTACACTGAGGAAACTGTAACCTAGAGGTGAAGTAACTCAGTGGTCGAGCTAGGACTCAAAACCATGTTTGTTTGACTCTGCATCACATTCCCTTACATAAAGTTGTGCCAATTGCTGTGGGTTTCCTTTGGGTGCTGTGTCATTCATTTCACATTTATTGAATTTATTTATTGCATTTGTTGAACACCTATTAAATGTCAGCCTCTGTGCCAGACATAGAAATAAATGAGAGAATCTCTTACTCTCAGGGAGTTTTAGCCTAGTGGAAAGACAGACACAAATCAAAAAAAGAGAATAGCGCAGAGGTCTAACTTCTGTTAATAGAGGCTTAATGCAAAGTCTCAAGGAGACCTCAAACTACATTTGGGAAGAAATGCCAATAGACAGTGGACACCAAGTATGTGCTTTAGGGGAGAGAGAAGTTAGGCCTAGGAGACTTGATCATCATATGACAAATATCATTTAGACCTATATTTTTATACACAAATTTGTGTTCATTAAATACTTTTGAAACAAATATATGTATGTTTATGTGTGACTGAAGCATTATGCTGTACACCAGAAATTAACACAGCATTGTAAACTGACTATACTTCAATAAAAATATATATATATAAAATAGTTTTGTGTAACCAAGGTCAGCTATGTTAGAAAAAAATCTATCAGTCTCATAAATTTCAGTATTGATATACTAATATAAATTGAATAAAAACAAGCAGGGTATGCTCTCCTTAAAATAAGGAGAGTATTTGACATGTTAAAAAAAAAAGGGCAGAGCAACCTTAGGCTGCATTGATTAAGTGATTTGCCCAGGTCCTAGGAAGTAATAGTCATTCTGTGCTTTGTGTTGGTGAGATCCCACTTTGATTAGTATCTTCAGTTGGGGCCCCCCATTTTAACGGGAATGTTGACAGAGCAGCTCTAAAGGAGGGTGACCCATTCTTCAACACCAGCTCACTCAGGTGTCACCTTGGCAATGATGCCTTCCCCACCTTCTGTGCCTCTGCTAATGCTGTCATTCTCTGCTTAGAGTGTGTCTCTTCTCTTCTGTCCTACCTGTTTATCTTCCCAGACTCCCCGTTCACCTGGCTAACTCCTCATCATTCTTTAGGATACAGCTTAAAGCTTCCCTTCCTATGATGCTTGTTCCCTAACATGAGTTTAGTGCTCTTTGTTGCCCTCAGAGCACCTTGGCTCTGGTTTGCATTGTAATTCTGTTGTGCTAAGCTCAAACATTATTGTAACTAGTTTCCACAATAATCCTATGAGGTTGGTATTGTTATTTTATTGATGATTATATTGATGTTACTGCACTCCGTAATTTGCCCAAAGTAGCATAGCCAGCAAAAGATAGGAGCTGGGATTTGCATCCAGATCTGCCTGACTTCAGACCCTGGGTTCTGAGTGACTGATGTCCTGACTCTGAGAAAGCCCACAGCTGGCTGGGCAGTATGGGTTTTGGGAGAGAAGAGAGAAAATATGAAAAGAAGAGCTTGTCTATTATACACAAGGCACATCTTAGGAGAAATGATTAACAATTTCCTAAAATCCATTTCTCTGACAGGAATTTGTTATTAAGAGTTACAGTTTAATCATCTAGAAGAGTAGATGATATTAAATCTCTTTTGTAATCATGTACTAGTAATAAAAACATTATGTTGGGTTTTTCTCCCTGTTATCAAATGGCATATTACTTTGAGCAATGAAAGCTGTCACCACTTCTTGGTGCAGGTTGAAAAGATTACCCACATGTCACGACACCCTCTCTTTTTTGTACAGATCTGGCAGCAGTATTTTGCAGCAAAAGATACAGTCTACGCAGTTATTCCTGTAAGTAGTTTGGAGGGGAAAATCAAAGTGTTATAGCGTGAAGTTCAGGGCTCTAACCTTAGCAGGCAGTTGCCTTTACTTTCCCTATGTTTATTGCCTCTTGAGAACTTACATTTATAGCTCTGAGGTTTTTTATTATGCCCTGAGCACCAAAGATTGGAAGCTCCATATGGTATATTTATGGTTCTTGTTTTTCCTCTTCCTGGTTTAGAAATGTCTCTTTGAGTCAAGTCTCTGACAAGGGAGTATGGTACAAGTTTATGTTGCTGAGCAATTCCAAATGTCTTCTATTTCTTTTTGGTGTTTTCAAGCCAAGCTGTTGGAATTGAGGACAGGGCCTCTGGCCTAGCTTTCTTCCCTTTTTGTCTATAAGTGACCTATACCTGAGCTGACTTGGAGCCTTCTCCTAGTCTTTTTCTGGCATTTCCCCTTAGCAAGATGCATTGTCTTGTTTTTTTCCCTTCTCAAAAGTGCTGTCTTGGAGATAGTCACAGGCCACTGCTTGACCATTAAGATTTGTGACTGGAAAGGAATGCTGCTGACTTCTTCTGGTTTAATGTCCTGCTGACTTCTACCAGAAGAACACATTTGGTGTAATGGGTTATCAGCTGGTTATTTTAATTGTTCTTCTCTGAAGAGGAAATAGCTTAGGTTAAGTTCATATCAAATACACAAATATATACTGAACTTACACGTGTAAGTTTAAGGAGGAAAACTTATAGATGGAAGAATAAAGCCAGGCCTTTTGGTTGTTGTGAGAGCATTGCTATCTTTTTTTTCCCCCTCCCTCTTATAAATATATACCTTTGCCTTTCATGAGTTCAACAGCCAAACGGATCATGATATTTTAGATTTCTAATGCTGACTCATTGTTTGAACAGGCCTTCTTAGCTCTCCCTTGGACAGACTTAATGACCTGATGTCTCTGACACTTGGCAGAGTCCCCTAAAGTGTTTGGAACATTTGGAGTATCCATTCTTCACACGTAATTCTGATATTGAATAGGAAATCCTCTCTGTCATAAGAGAGATTTATAAATGATGGAACTTGACATTGTTTTAGTTGTATTTTAGTTCAGTCTTTGTGAATTTAAATGTGATTGTGGCCTCTTATGTTTTCTTGTTTTTGAATTTTTTTTCTTTTCTAACCTACAGAAAGAGAAGTTTGACTTGATCTGGAATCGGGCTCAGTCTTGTCCAACAGTAAGTTTCTGGTGACCATATGAGAATTGCTTATTAGTAGCGCCAAACAAGGATGTTTTCCAACCATCTCTTCATACTCCATAGTATCTTACCATGTTATAATGCTCTGTTATTTAACAAAGATGCTCACATGTTGATTGTACTGATAAATGAGATTTTCAGCCTTATGAAATTATGTGGGTTTGGCCCAATAAGTCTCTGGCTTTTTTGTTCTCTGAAACATCTCAGCCCTTTCTGATGTTGATCCTAATCTATCAGTATAAGTGAATATTAGAGAGAATACCTGAGACCTTAATCTTTTCAACCTCCTTTAAGTTTCTGTTTAATTGGCAGTTTCTTTTCAGTTTGGGCCATGCTTTCTGGATTATATATGCCTAAAAGGAGTTACGAAGTTTTTGCTGAAGTAATGGGCTGCCAGAGACCTAAGAGAAAGGGAATAGGTGAGGTGGATCAGCTAACTTGGTGTCTGTAATAATTTCTGGGATTCTCAGAAGTTTTTTTGAAACATTGCTGAGAGAATATTAAAAACATCTAAGTAAATGGAGAGATATACCATGTTCATGGATTAGATGACTCAATATTACTGTCATTTCTTTCTGAATTGATCTCTAGATAAAATGTAATCCCAATCAGGCTTTTGTTTGTTTTGTTTTGTTTTGAGAAATTGACAAACTGATTGAAAAATTTATTTAGATAAAATTTATTTGGACCTAGAATAACAAAACACTTTTTAAAAAGAAAAACAAAGTTAGAGGACTTACGTTATATGATGGCTATGATTTCATAAAGCTACATTAATGAAGACAGTATGGTAATAGCATAAAGTTAGACAAATAGATCAATGGAACAGAATATAGAATTCAGAAATAAATCAACATATGCCTGGTCAATTGTTTTTCAATGAAGGTGCCATAGTAATTAAATGGGGAAAGGATAATCTTTTCAACAAATGTTCAACAAATCGTGGAAACAGTTTGGATATCCATATACAAAAAAACAACCTCTACTCTTACCTCACACTGTATCCAAAAATTAACTCATGATAGATCAAAGATGTAAATGTAACTTCTAGAAAAAATGATCTTAGATTGAATCTTAGTGATCTTGGTTTGGCAAAGATTTCTTAACTATGTCACCAAAAGCACAAACTATAAAAGAAAAAAAAATTAGATTTCATCAAAATTAAAATTTTCTGTTTGTATGCCCGTGTTCATAGCAGCAATAGTCACAGTAGCCAAAAGGTAGAAGCAACCCAAGTATCCGCTGATAGATAAGTGGATAAACAAAATGTGCTATCTACATGCAATAGAATATTATTCAGCCATATAAAGGAACGAAGTTCTGACATTCAGCATTCATGAACCTTAAAGACATTATGCTAAGTGAAATAAACCAGTCACAAAAGGACAAATGCTGTATGATTCCACTTATATGAGGTATCTAGAGTAGTCAAATTCAAAGACAATCTCATAGACAGAAAGTAGAACAGTGGTTGCCAGGGGATGCGGGGAAGGTGGGGTGGGGAGTTACTGTTTAATGATTATGGAGTTTCAGTTTGGAAAGATGAAAAAAGTTCCAGAGATGAATGGTGTTAATGGTTTCACAACAGTATGAATGTACTTAATGCCACTGAACTGTGCATTAAAAAATGGTTAATTTTAACTGTAATGTTTTATATATTTTACCACAATAAAACATTTTTAATTTCTACTTTTCAAAAGACATTGCTATGAAAATGGAAAGATAAGCCACACACTAGGAAAAAATACTTGCAAGACATATATTAACAAGTGACTTGTATCTAGAGTATTCTAAAAACTGTTACAACTTATTACAAGGACAGGCAACTAAATTAAAAAATGAAGCAAAAGATTCAAACAATTCATCAGTGAAGTGGAATGGAAGATAAGCACCTGAAAAGATGTTCAACATCTTAGTCATAAATGGGAATACAAATTAAAACTACAGTAAGATACCACTTAAATGACTAAAGTTAAAAAGACTGACCATACCAAGTGTTAGTAAGGGTACAAAGCAACTGGAACTCTCATACACTGCTGATAATAATGTAAAAGGTACAGCCACTTTAGAAAAGAGTCTAGCAGTTTCTTTAAAAGTTAATCTTAAAAAAAAGAAGAGGTTAATCTACCTCCCATACTGCCCAGCCATTCTACTCCTGGATGTTTTCCCAAGAGAACAGAAAGCATATATTCGTACAGTAACTGGTACACAAATGTTCATAGTAGCTTTATTTGTAATAACCAAATACTGAAAAAATCCAAATCTGTCACAGGTGGATAAATAAATAAATTGTGTGTGTTTGTGTGTGTGTGTGTGTATATATATATAC